CGGACCAAACACTCACTGCAGCTTTGTTTGCACAGAATATGTTCTCACTCTGCCATCATTTCCGTTTCCCCTATTGAAGGAGGAAGTAAAAGAAACTTAATAAATGAGTCACGATAATGTTTCAGCAGCAATACTTTTTAATATTTTGCCTGATGAATTTGTCATGTGTAGGAAAAGTAGAATATTGCTCAAAACTAAAAAAACAACAACATTACAGTAATATAGGCCATTCTATGATAATATTAATTACAGTTAGCTTCAAGCTAAATAGTTAGCAAACTAAACAGTTGGCTTTGAACAAAATATTTAGCTACGAGGCCAAATATTTAATTTGCAACATAAATATTTAAATTGAAGCTAAATCCTTAGATAATATGCAAACTGACTTGTTGATATCCTTTGTCAACAAGTATAAAACATCAAAAAATATTGACAAGCAAAATATTTCATTTGCAACATAAATATTTTAATTGAAGCTACTATTGTTTTTTAGCTAACATGCAAATTTTTAGCTAATAACTGGAGATGGACCATCAAAATAAAAATGCATGAGGCAAACAATGATGCTAATAAATGATCTCTGGCTGGTGATTGACTGCTGTCATTTGTCCACTTGTCGTTATTGGCTAGAAAATCTGCATATTAGCTGAATATTTAGCTAAATATTCAGGTTGAGGCTAATTATTTAGCTGGCTAGTTTTTGAATTTGGAGCTAAAAATATTCCCTTCTAACTAAATATTTAGTTTTAACTATGGCATTTATAAATGAATGACTAACATGGTGAAAATATGTTTTTTCTTATCACAGGCTAATTACTGTTGTTAATGTTGAACTTTCCAAACAGCCTCATGAAAGCGAGTTAATTTATTTTACATAAAGTATCCATACCACTAAAATTATCTATGCAGAAACGTCTGTCTCCAAGGTAGGCCACGATGTGTGACCTACCTTGCGAAACAAGGTAGGTCACACCTTGTCTCGCAGTCTTCCTGTCAGTCAGTGAAGTTGGCCAGATAAGTGGAATGAATGGAGAGCGGCTATTTCAGTATCCGTTCTGCTTTCATTAACGTCTCTCTGCTGGGAGACGAACTAATGAGTCCTCGCTCTGTGCTTCTTCATCACAACGTTTGTGCGTCACCTTCAGACATTTTTTTGTGCTGCATCACAGCAGGCGCTCCACATTGCATGCTGTGAGCTACATTCACAGCAAATGCAGGAGGCTATTTTAGATTGGAGTGGGTTTTAATTTCTTTCCTTTATTACGGCCACAGACAGGATCAGACTCATGGAGATCTGCTTGCTGATATGTAAATACATTTGACATTTAGGGTATTAGAGAAAATTGTGTTCACCTTTTTAAAAAGTGTGATTAATCTAAAATCACATTAGATGGGAATTACACAAGGAATTATAAAATCACAGCCTTGTAAAGATACACAGAGACTCAAATGCTTTTTAACCTTTACTAGATTCTGGGAGCTTGGAAAACCCAGGACTGACCTGATTGGGGGAATCAGAGTGACAAAGAGGACAGAAAACATTATGCTGTAATGAGACTGCACCAGACTTACGACCCTGAACATCTGGAGACGAATAAAACACAACAGCTGGCAGAAAGTGCTGTGGATTGGCTTTCCAAGCAGATGCAGACCAGCCAACATCTGGCCTCCTTAAGCCTGCAAATCCTCCTGTTTGGGGGTAATTGTTTAATATGAGTGAAAACATCAGCTGAACCACTTTACTAAAGATAATGGTGATGATAAACTGTTCTGGCAAAAATAAGAAGCATTTAAAGCAGTCTTTCTGTGGTCGGCGGGCGCCCCCTAGTGGTCCGCAGGGAACTGCATGCGGACGACTTGCAGTGATGTTAGCTTAAAGCTACATTAGCTTCCCACAGAACTGTGTTTAAAAATAAGGACGTTAAATGGCTTTAAATCAGGTCAGTCACTAGAAAACAAGGCCAGAAATACTTTTGTAATTAGAGGAAGTGACGTTGCACTGCGGTTCAGAACTGTTCTTTTTTTTATGACTTTGCTTGCTGACGATGCTCTCTTCGTAACTATTGTTTTTTTCAATTGAATTAAAAATGATTATATTCAATTAATTAATTAAACGCTATTGATAGAAATTGGTGGATAATTTAAATGGAATGGTGCTAAAGAGGAGTTTTGTTTTTGGCAAAGCAACTCAAATCCATTTTTCTTTTATTATTCTTCTAAATTACCAATATAAGCACAACAATGCACTTACAGAATCTGTAAGAAACTCAAAATTCCATTTCAGGTTAACAGACTAATATTTGCATTTCAGGTTATTAATGTCAGCATACGGTTTTATTGTGGAGGAAATTCAAGTGAGGTGATTCAGAGTGTTTGTTAAATAAATGAATGGTCCTCAGTCTGTTTGACAAACTGGTCTAAAGCATAAGCAGCATCATGTCTAAATATGTTTTCTTCATTGCTTGTTATTTTTATTTTTGATTATAGTGACAAAAGAGAAAAAAGATCAATATCCATATAAAAATAAAACATTCTTCCCTTTCATTGTTTCTCGGTTTCTATTATAAGCGAGAAGAGATTCTGGTTTTAGCTTCATTATTTGTGACTTGTTGAATTAACAAACAGGTTTGTTGACTGAGCAAAGCCAGTTTGTAGCTCTGCAACAAAAAAGCATAAAAATGCTGGCAGGCGGACAGCGGCGTAGTCAAAGCTTTGTGGGTCTCATTTAGAGTTGCAGACAAACAGAATCAGCCCACAAATGTTACAAATAAGAAACCTGTCAGCCCTTTAAGCACTAATCATTTATCCTGATTGCCTGGTAAGATTGCCTTTCGCTCCGATTCTGCTAACGGATGTTGATTTGGATTAAGGTGAACAGCGGTAATGTCCCATCAGTATCCTGAACCAGTTGCTCAAAAGCTGCTGCTATCAACCCGTAATAAAACTGATACCACACTACTTTGCTTTATGAAATTCATGTGACGGATGCAACTGAGCAATTTTGCAAAAAATAATTGGCAAAAAATGATGTCAGTGGGTGTGAAAAGCTGGTGGAGACATAATTTAACAGACTTCCAGCTGAGCCTACAAAGTGATGACCAACATCTGCCACAATTTGGTGTTTTCTTTGTTAGAATCTTTGAAAAACATGGAAGGTATTGTTCAAAATTTTGCTCAAATTTGTATGAAAAAGATACCATTAAATTACATTAAGTGTTGCGGTGTGAATGTCACAAAATATATTTTAAAATATATGCACAAATACATCTGCAAGCCGCCACAGAGCAGTTAGCAGTCAGTCAGAGCGAAGGTCTGCACAGACGGCAGGTTTTAGATTTGAGTGAAGTCAAATATGTGCAGAGAGAATAAAGTGACCCAATGTTTAAACCAGGCAATGATAAAAACAGTTTCAATGCTCTGGGTTAGAATCCAGAGAACCCAAAACATTTATTCAGAAGTAGCGACGCTTCAACATATTTTTACTCAAGTAAAAGTAAAAAATAGCCAAGAAATTATTCAAGTCTACTTGGTAAAAATCAACACAGCTGCTGATGGTGAACCTTAATGTTTGTTTTTCATGCAGTGGGTAGAAAATACAGACATGTTACTCAAGTAAGAGTAGAGATATTTTATAATAATATTACTCAAGTAAAAGTCAAAGTACAGGTTAGTAAAAACACTCCTACAGAAATATTTTTTACTCGAGTAAATGTAACTTGTTACCATCAAACTCTGACTAAACCTTTGCAAACTGGCCTTAAATCCTGAAGGTTTGATTCATCTGTGAATAGAAACCATCTGGGCTTCTTGGTTGCTCCTGAATTTATTTATTTTCCTTTTCTATTACTGTAAAATACATCTGCTGTTAAATCTCAGCCACAGCAGTTGAAGTTAGAGCGAAATAAATATCAAAAAGCAGTGATCAGGGATTCATTTTGGTGGGATAAATCACAATGTCTGTCATTCACAAACAGGAAGAACGTGACATTTGGAAAAGATAAAAAACCCAGAAAATCACAACATTGTGATGAAAATCTGTGTTTTCCTGTCATCTAACAGAAATAGAAAGAGCAGTTACTCTTTGACTTTACCCGGTAATGTCTGACTAACTGAGTTTAACTGATGGTACAGAAACAGCCAGAGCTGAAGCAGTAACCCAAATCTACCAAAGTGCCGTCCCACAAGAACGGGATGGAAATAGCTCCATTCTGGGTCACTCTTTAATAATTGCAGAAGTAACTTCCTAACTCTGCGCCTCATTCTCGGTGCGTACTAAACTTCTTAAATCATTCTTTGAGATTTTGTTTGGTGTCTCTTGAATTTTTTAAGCCTAATCTCGGGTTCCCTCACCTTTATTACTAAAAAGATGCTACCATCAATTTGAGAACTTCTTAATCTTTTCCTCTGCAAATTTGCTTTTGGTCAGAGAAATCGGCCGTAATGTCAGCCGCTCATTGATTTTGTGCTCTACTTTGCAACAAGATGTACTTTCCTGATCTAAAGAGGGACTGAATCCCTTCGTCCTTTCTCCTGTTGAAGTGACTTCTCGTCTTTCTTTCCTTGGACAGATCAGGTCACAGCAGAATAAACACACCAACAGCTGAAACTGAACAGCAGATGCAGGAAAATAAATCCTCTACACTGCAAAATCTCAAAATCTTAGCAAGTAATTTTGGTCTAGTTTCTACTGCAAATATTTTAGTTCACTTGAGGCGAAATAAAACTAACTAGAGTTTGTTTTAGTATGAATCTGCTAGTTGGTTCAACAAGCAGATTAATGAACTCATGACAAGACATTTTCCCAGCGTTATAAGTGAAATAATCTGCCAACTGAACCAGAGAAATTATTGACTGTAAACAAGCTCTTATAGATTGCTGAAATGTTACTTGCAGCAGAAAATAGACCAAAATAGCAGGTAAGCAGCGTTTTCTGCTGGTCTCCAAACTCTGAGTTTGAATGTGAAGTTAATCCAGGATCATCTGTGTCTGGTTTCCTGCAGTGGACACAGATGGCAGGAAGTTGAAGGGAGGCATCCAGAGGAGCACGGAGACGGGTTTGGCGGTGGAAATGCCGAGTCGGACGTTCGCCAGGCCAGCCATGAGTCCATAGAGGACAGCATGAACAGCTACGGCTCTGAGGGGAAGTGAGTAACCACAGGCTGCCTGGCCACAATTTGCAAAACATTTTTTTAAACATTTCTCTGTAATTCTACTTACTGTTTACATAAAGTCTAGATTTGACTCAAGAGGAAGAGCTGAATTAAAGTTTATTCTGCAAGCGAACATGATTACAGACTGATCTAAATATTGACAGTAAAATAAAATGCAAATTTTAATAAAATGTACATTTTATTTCACTTTTCAATAAAGATAATTGGAGTGCAGATTTTATAATTTATAGCTGTGACAATGTCACAGAACATTGTTAGCTCATTATAATAAACCTGCTTAAAAAGGAGCAGAGAGGTCAGTTTTTTATTGTGCGTGTTTATTTCATAATTAGATTTCATACATTGTTGGCGAATTTTGATAAAATGCGTTGGGAACCAGTTTATCTCTTGAGTTTACTTGAAATACATAATGAAAAGCTGCAGTTTGACCACAGGGTTTCCACAAACTTCACAGAAACAGTTGGAGAATTATTTTGTTTCTTAAAGGTTAGATCTGATTTCCTCTATGTTGGCTCCAATCATCCATCTGAGCAACATGAGTAATAACAGCATAGTACTACGACACATACAAACACGTGGACACATGCAGAGCTCTGCCAACCTGGACACCAGCTCCAGTGTCAACAGTTACATAACGAGACAGGCAGACAGACTGGCTGATGGGAGCGTCAACAGAAACATGGGCTGCATGAGCAGAGAGACTGAAATCTGAATCCACATTATTTTACACAAATTTACAGAAGAGGCGATGCATAAAACTGCAAAGTTTGCGATGCACAATGAAAGAAAACTGAAGTGATGATATGAAAATAATAATATGTTTATTTTGGAGTGTCGTCACCAAGCTCCTCTGCTCATCAAAAGTCTGGATGTGGAGAAAATCAGAATGATTGTTTTGTGTAAATACCACATCAAACTGACCATAATTAGAAAAATGTCATTTCACATCATGCAAACAATTTGAAACAGAACAAGGAGACAGCCGAGGCACAGAGAGGAGAAAAACTGAATCTGAGTCTATTCCTGTTTGACTCAAGCTGTGTAAACAAATTGAAGTTTTTATGTTTATCTTGCAAAATCTCCCTTCATATTATATCCTGAATGACCGCTGAGCTTCATTAAAGGAGCAGAACGTTGCTGTAGATGTGTTTTGATGTAGTATCATCTAAACATGGAGAGAGGAATAAAAATAGAGATTTAAAAAAGATATTTTCATTTTCCCTTTCAGAAATTAGAATGGCCACACTTTTCATTTATTTCCATTTTTATAATTGACCCCACAGAAAAGTGGCAGATCAAACTTAGTGATGCAGCGGTTCATGATGGTGGTACAGTCGGGTCAGAACATGTGACCCAGCAGAGAGTGTGGAGCATGGTCTCCGTCGGTCCGCTGTGAGACGGCGCGTCCTCTGGAGGGACACAGGCATTCAGTCCAGGGCCGCTGCCAGAAATCTTGGGCCCATGGCAAAAATTAAATTGCCCCCCCACGCTGCTGCTGTTGCAATTCTTTGAGTCTGTCTGACTTATCAAAATGTCACAATTTTGCAACTGCCTGGCTTTCTTTGGTGCAATACTGATAACTAGCACATTTACTGCTCATGACTTTTACATGAAACAGCATAGAGTATGCAAGTAGGTTGCTTACATTTTTTCAAAATCAACTTCTAGATTTTGATCTTTGTCATTTTTCAATAGAAAAAAACTTTTTAAAATAAAGCTAAAGGTACCAGCACTAATAAAAAAGAACTTTATGTATAAAATAAGTGATTGATATCTGAGCTGCCAGCGTTATGAATCATTTAAATTGTCCGCAGTAAGGCGCTGCTTCGCTCACGCTCTGTTTCCGTTTGGCTCAGCGGGCTGATTGGAAAGCTCTGTGCATGAACACATCCTGCAGTGAATAAGCACTTTGTCAGCTAACACCATCCAATCACATTTATGGGCTTATTGATTAATGATTGGGGTATTTTAGTGTGTGTGCTGCTGATGAAACTAAAACTAAAAGGTGGAAACTGATCTGGCCTGCAAAACAAAAGCAGCTCATGATAAGGTATGGTGGAGGATTTATGATGCTGATGGCCTGTTTCTCTAACTAAAGGAACATCATTAGAAAATATGTCATGGTGAACTTTTTCAAACACCAGAATATTTTAAAATAAAATTCTGGAAACCTCCCAATGCAGAACAGACTGAAGGAACAGAAAAATGTTACAAAGATAAGTTTCTCACAGAGTAACAGGAAAAACTGAACTGGCACTGAAATGATCCAGAACCAAAAGGGAAAACAAAATAATCTAAGAGACTAAATATAGTGTTGAACATGTACGGCAACACCCTACGAGTAATAATAATGAACCAAGAATGGCAAGACATTTTATATAATAATTAGGAAACCAAACACCAAAAAATCATGACAGAAGAATTTAAATAGATGATCTCTTAATAAAATAATTATCCAAAAACATTTCAGAAAATCAAAACAGAAATAGTTCTGCTAGAGTTCAAATAACTGTGAATGTGAGAAAAATAAAAGTTTGTCTTATTTTTTAAAATACTTCTTTTTAAATATCTTTATTTGTGGCTGTAGCTAAATGAACAATAACAATAAGTCTGAAATCAGAATAACGGGTCCAGTAAACTGACCAGAACACAGAGAGTCTCGTTCATGTCGTCCATTTTGAGTTGCTTTCTGTTGAAGAACCAGCAGCAGTTCTGGTTCTTCAACAGAACCAGAACTTCAACAGAACCAGCAGCAGTTCTGGTTCTTCAACAGAACCAGAACTTCAACAGAACCAGCAGCAGTTCTGGTTCTTCAACAGAACCAGCAGCAGTTCTGGTTCTGTTTGTTTACAGCATGAGTTTTGCATTGAACATCAGACTGTGTGAAACAGCAGCGTAATCCCCAGATGTGCTCCACACACACACACACACACACACACACACACACACACACACACACACACACACACACACACACACACACACACACACACACACACACACACACACACACACACACACACACATTTTTACAGTTCCTGGCAGTCTGCCACCAAAGCACTCTGATCTGATTCTGAATACTCAGATAAAATAGGGTCACATAAGTTCATCACTGCTAATGTAGTGACTACCAAATGTCTGAGTTTCTTTTTGGAGTTTTATCTGTGTTGAACCATGTGTAATAAAAGGTTATTTCTTATTTTTACTCTTTTATTTCACCTTTTTTCTCTATATTTTGCATCGTTTTTTTCTTCTTCCACGTCTTTGCCAACATTCCCATTTTTTACGTTTTATTTCACTTCTCTGTTATTCATTAAACCACAGTCACTGAGTTTTAATCCCCGCCCTTCCTGCTCTCCCCTCAGTCTTAACTACAGTGGGATGTGTCTTGCATCCGATGCCCAGTTCAGTGACTTCCTGGATGGGATGGGACCGGCCCAGTTTGTTGGGAGACAGACGCTTGCAATGACATCCATGGGTGAGAAAACTTCAATGTTACTTTCCAAATCATGATTCAAAAATATTTTTCCACATCAGAAAGAAATCTGTCAAGAGAAGAATTAGCTAATAAAACACTTTATTGTTTGATGTCACACATCCTGCATATTTTTGAATATATCTAAATAAAAATGCTGGATTGTATTTGCTCACTTTGCCTCCCCAATGTTCTCCACATCTTCCACATGGTGTCACAGATCTCTCCAGTCCATTTCAGTCCATTTCAGGTGATTTGTGCCAAATTTAGCTCAGAATTCAGATTATTCTGTCTGTTTTCTGTGTTCATCTCTAGTTTTCTTGCAGGAACTTGAAGGTTTTGCATTAAAACCCTTCATGACTTCATCTACCTTGACAAAGCTACCTATGAAAAAATAGTTTTGCATGCTGACTTTTATTTTTATTTGAATCACAAAGACTTAGCATTTTAACAGGGAGTGTGCAGATTTTTTATGTTTGCTTTTAATCTCTCAGCTTGAAGTTTGGGATGAATTAGTGATAAATCATGAAGTGAGAAATAATGCTGTGTGCTGTGAGGCCATCAGTTTTCTTATGTTTTTGAATCAAAGGATAAGTTGAAGGTAAGCGGCTTTATCTCCTGGAAATTAAAAAGCCAAGCCTTACTTTGTAATAAAAACATATTTAGTGGTTGCTAAATTCATTTTGCTGTGGCTCAGAGTTTTCTCATCGGTCTGCGCTGCAGTCTAGTGATTTATTTGCTGGTCGTCTGCAGGGGGTGTATTTCACGCAGACTGTCCTCAGCAGCAGTGTTTTACTGTAAGTGGGTCAGCTTCCTCGCTGGCAGTCAGACGCCGTCCTTGGACCAACAACAGTTACACTCACTGGACCAGTTCCACTCCCAGCCTTCTGTCCAGTTCAGCATTATATAATATCAGAGGACTCAAAATAACTGGGAGATCATCTGCGCTCAGTCATTTACAAAGAAATATTTGTCCTTTTGAGCCGTTTTGCCACAATTATTCATGATGGACGGAATAATAATTTTATAATAATGATCATCTGTTATCATCCATGCAGGCGATGTAGAAATCGGCCTGACGGAGAGAAACGGGGGTCTGGAAGTAGAAGTTGTTCAAGCGAGAGGACTCACCATGAAGCCAGGCTCAAAGGCACCTCCAGGTAACGTTAGCATGCCCACTGGACCACACAAATAAAACCTGCTGTTCCCAGGATTTACATGGGAACCATCACACACTGGACTGAGGACGTTTCCAATAAACAAGATGCTTGACTTTTATTTCTGCCATATCGAGGACAAGGACGATTCTGCACAAATAAATCAAAAGGCAGCAGCTGCACACAGAGCAGCCTGCAGGGTAGGCTAAAAGGGGAAAACAATATTTCATAGTTTTGGGAGTTTGCACACAGAGCACAGAAAGCTAAATGCACAAAACAGGGACAGAATGACTCACAGAGGTTTTTCACCCAGGAGATTTAAGCAACTTTCTGCTGCTGATCACGTTGAGTCATACTTAAAGTTAGTTTACTCGTCATTATGCTTCAAAGCTGTAATATTTGTGTTGAACTAAACCTTTTTCAAAAGACAAAACAAATGAAATCAGATTGTATTTAGTGGCTGAACATTTTAAAATCGAATAAGCATCAGTAATCATGTTTAATGTTTGATTTAACATTGATTTATTTAATGATCAAATCAACTGATAAATCATCTCTCCAACTTTTCTATCCATTAAACCTTGAAGAGTTTATTGTCAATATAATGTAATTATTTTAAGTTGTGCAAACACTTTATGTTGCATGATTTTGTGTTTTTGATGTAAAGCACTTTGAAATGCCTTGCTGCTGAAATGTGCTATACAAATAAAATTGTATTTGATTTACTGTTAATAAAAATAAAACTTTCCACTTGCTGAATAACAAATATAATTCTGATTTTATGATGTTACAACAGTTTTTGCCTCATCAGCTTTTGAACATAACATGATATTTTTTAGTAGCATCCCTCGTGTGTAAGAGACTTATCTTTGTAACATTTTGACAATTTCCCAGAATTAGCCTGATTTGTTTTCTTCTGCTGAAAAATTGCCTCTATTATTCAGGAGAATAATAAAAGATATTTACGAATAACTCATTTTGTGCCACAGTTTCCCCCAAACCACAGACAGCTGGGATTGTTCTTCTCTATTCTGAGTTGCCAAATGTTTTTCAGAACTTCCTTAAGGCGAACAAGAAGTCTCTCTGTGAATGATCTCCTGCTCAAATTTCTCTTTCCTCATATTCTAGCGGCATATATCAAAGTTTACCTCCTGGAGAACGGAGTCTGTGTGGCCAAGAAGAAGACCAAAGCAGTGAGGAAGTCTCTGGATCCTCTCTACAATCAGGTCCTGGTCTTTTCTGAAAGCCCACAGGGGAAAGTAGTGCAGGTAAGAACCAACAGAAAGGAACAAAAACAGAATATAAAATATCTTAAATGAAACATGAAGACTCTGACAACAACCAAATCTGGTTTCCAGCTGAACTTGGAATGTTATTTTCTTCATTATTAGCAAAAATCAAAGATGCATGATTCATACTTTTGTCACCATGCTTGGGCAAAATGCCAATCACAATTGAAAAAAAAATGTAGAGGAAAACAAATAAAAATGACATTTTCATCCATAAACTCTGAGCCGCTTTAAAACACGAGTTTGACCTTTTCTAAAACAATCTGACCTGAAGAGCCGCCGGCTCTGGCAAATCATTTTATTGTCATTTCTTAGAACTTCAACAATTAAAAAAATATAATCACAACTCAGACAGAGAAACATTATTTATGCACTTCAGTTTTTCCTCCTCTGCTCTTTTTTTATCTGCAATATTCCTTTTTTCAGACTTTGGCGTCATGTGATAGTAATGTTCTTTTTTTCCAGTGTCCATGCTCCATTTCATGTTTCATAACGTCTTCATGCCGGCTCAGTGCTTGCCCCACGTGAACACGGTTTCACCCCGATTGTTTGTGTCAGGCTTGCTCAGTGAGAAGCCGAGGGATCCAGTGATGTGTTGGTGGAGAGGCCTGCAGCTCTGCCTCCAGCTGCTCTTCTGCTCCTGTCACCGGCTAATTAGCCGCTAAACGCCTCCCTCTTAATTATCTGCTGTCTGTGCTGCTGTCCTCCGAGTTTCATCAAACTCATTCACACTGGATAATGAAAATCGCTGAAATCAGCAGCACTTTTCAATTTGTCATTTCCCAATTTAGCAAATCGCAGAGCTGCTTAAGACTACACGGAAAATCCATTTAAAAAGCTGCTTTAATTGCCTCTGTGACGGCGGCAGTTTTATTCGTCAGCTCGGATAAAACACATCGCGTAACAAATAAGCATGCTGTAATTTTTACATTTAGTGAGCACTCTTTGAAAGTTTAGAATGTTTTCTCAGAAAACATTCTAAATCTATCAGTTTTTTTAAAACTGATAGATAAAAATTTTACATTTTTCACCACATGTTTTTTTCCTTAAAGTGCAGAAAACTGCTGTGGTTGAAATAAGAGAATAGAAACCAAAGGTTAGGAACAAGAGCGTCATTTCTTACAGTCTGGACTCAGAGTCTCGGTGGAAATCATTCGCAGACGTTTGGTATTCTGTGACGCAGGGAGACACAGGACCTCCACATGAGGCGACGTATTCGTTGATGGATATTGATTATTTTGTCCACCGCCTGAGAAGAACTGCGGCTGTCTGAGTTGAGCCCCGATGTTATCAGGATGTCAGGGACGGAGGACACCCTGTGCACAAATAAACACCGCTAGCCTGCCGTGTATAACAAAAAGAAATGCTCTGGACTGGGCTTACACACCTGCATACATCTATCTGCTGTGCTTGGATTCAAATTTGACATCATGAAATGTTGCTTTTATTGATCTGCAGCTTTTTGTTTTGTTTCAAAGTGCAAAGTAAAACCAGAGAATTAGTGAAGGATAAATGTACTTTATTTACTATATATTACACATGAACCATAAATAATCATCTGTTTGGATTTATCAGTCTAAAGTGAATCAGTTTTAGTAAAAATAAACTTTCAGTCTGAATTCAAGCTTTAAATGTCTCTGTCTCACTGTGACAGAGACATGAGGTCCCATCCTGCTGTGTTGTTGTGGTGACAAGATTAATTCATCATAAATACTTTAGAGCTCTAATAAAACCAAAGAATGTGTCCAATGTGAAACGATGCAAAACGTTTCTTTTGAAATTTGCTTCTTTTGAAACTATGAAGGAATTAAAATGGAAAAATTCTGGTTAACTTCCAGCTCCATGCAGAACCAGAGACAGAAACAGATACATCTAAATATTGGATGTTCACATCGATCCAGGTTTATTTATCAGACCGATATGTTTAACAATAGCAAATACCAACTGATACCGATGTTGGTGCCGATATATTGTGCATTTCTAATAACACTTGTACCCAACTGAAACGTTCCAAGACTTTTTGTTCATCTAATTTGTCAAAAGCACAGCTGGCCCGATCAGGTTCATCACATCCTGTGTGAAACAAAACAAAGAAAAAAAGCTAAACAAAAAGTTAACAGACTGATAACAATGGTTTGTTTCTCACCTCTCCTTCAGGTCATTGTTTGGGGAAACTATGGACGAATGGACCGCAAAAGCTTCATGGGCGTAGCTCGAATCCTATTGGAGGAGCTCGACCTGAGCACCGTGGTGATTGGCTGGTACAAGTTGTTCCCTACCTCCTCCATGGTGGACCCGACTATGGCGCCACTCATCCGCCACTCATCTCAGATGTCTCTGGAGAGCACCATCGGACCATGTTGTGAGAGATCCTAAGACTTAGGAAGGAAACTGTGTTGCGTTGAACTGAGTCTGAAGAAACGTTTTCAACCCTGTAGCTCTGCTCCTGGCTCAGCTGGTCACCACTTCACCTGCACCTGGGACAAGTTCACAAGTCTGTCCGCTCTGGGGAACGATCAGACCTGATAAATTACTGCGCTAACCAGCCGGTTATCCTGCATTCATCTGAAATATATAATAGTTTTGGAGCAGATTGTTTCCTGTGACTCCTGGGAAACGCATTTCTTTTATTCTTGTAACCGACCATCCCTCAGACTCTCAGGGAGATTTCTCTCCCTTCAGATCTCTTTGATGGAAGGAAAACCCAAACCCTCCGTAATGAGGATACTTCAAAGCAGAGCTCGGCTGCCGACATTGATCACATCCTATTGGGACTCGGCGGCTCGGTTTGCTTCAGCTGCCCGCCTCCTCTGCAGCCTTCACCCAACTCTCATTCCCAGGGCTGCTGGTTGTCTTTCTACTGGACGAGTCCTGATAAAATCTCTCAGTCCACCATGATGCTTGAGAAACCACTTCCTATTGGTAGATGTGTATGCAACAGGACTGGAAGCACTAAGGTCTAAGTTATTTGTTGCGACATACCAAGAAATGCTGGGTCCAACCACATGAGCTGTTTCTTTGATTATTTCTGTACGTTCCTCATTGGTTGAATGATGTTCAACTCCATGAGACTCAAACATGGCTGAGAGCTGTTGCAGGTTCTGGAACCATCCAGATTGTAACCTGAAGTTAAGAATGACGGTTGCTGCTGGTTTCTGTGCACACAGTTTGTTAGAGCCTCATGTCACAGCTGGCTCACCTGTGGACCTGCGTCCCTGGGCTTCATCGTTCTCAGTCCCCAAAAACAATCTGCTCATGTTCACCCGTTTCTAACTCACATGACATTTCAAGCACTTTTCAGTCTATACGGTGGTGATTATAAAGAGAAATATACATCCTTGCTTCTTATAAAAAAGTGACAAAGCCAATTTATTCCAACTAGGGTTTCAAAAATAAAGGCAGCAAAGATTTATTTTTTGTAAATTGTGAATTAGAAACAGATTGGAGCAAAATCTGAAAACCCCTAAATTAATGCATGCAGTCTATTCTACAGGATTATGATTTTAATATAAAGTGGCTAATGTTAAATGCATGACATTAGCACATTTAAATTTTGCTGAGGCCTTACAGAGAACAAAATGTACCCAGCATTAAGCAGCTCGGTGTCTTCTGGGTCTAAAATGACAAATGTTTGTTCTTTATTTATTATTTCTGCTCTGCTTTGGTTGGTTTTCACCTTCCTCGTGCAGATCACACTGAATGCAGCGGCTGCTATCACTGGAAAAAAAACAAGAAAAGTTCAATCTTGGTTGCTGTGAAGAGCAGAGCTACCTGTGAACCCTGGTAGCTGCAGCAGCTCTTTCGATAGATTTCTAACATTCCTCTAGTCTTTTTTAAGCTTTGGTGAATAACAGTTTCTGTTGTGCCAATTTCTACCAGCACGTGTCTTCTTCCTCTTCCTCAGTTACCTTGTGGCATGTGCCATTGTGAGGGGACAGCAGAAAAATCCACTCGCACCTCCTAACAGCAGCATTCAGAGAAGCGTCCCTTTCATTCTAAATTAAAGCCCTCATCCACTGAAAGCCAAGCCACCTGGTGATTAGCCATGCTTCGACTGAAAACCGGAGGGAGGAAGAGAGAGAGAGGAAGAGGAGAGAGAGAAAGAGAGCATGAAATGTTCTTTGCACCATCCAAACAAAGGATCTGTCTGGAGTGACGTCAGGTGTTACAGACTTCAAAAGAGAACAGAGAAATGGGATGAACGCAAAGGGAACACATTGTGCACACTGTAGAGAAATTTTATTGGAGCAAAAACCATTTATTTAAGATCCATAATGTCTCCTTTCTGTGTACATATTACCACTGTTTGTGTCTTTTGGTGTGAGCCAAAGTGAATCTGTCACAACTTTGTTCATAAATGTTGAGACACCAGTGGAAGGAGGTGATGATATCTTTGGTAGATTTTTTTTTCTGAGACTGTAGCAGTAGCTGGTAGCATCTGCATGACAGGTTAAACATTTCTACTATTAGCACAAAACTTGATAAGATTTAGCATGAGCTATGAGCTGCACAGAGGTCACAAGCTTCGGTTTGAACTGAGGAACATTCCTATGTAGCATTTTCATTTGTTCTTAAGATGTTTTAGTTTCAGCTGCTTTCTGTTAAAAAATAAACCAAACTCATCAAGATTTTAGATTTTTTTATTTAGCTAGAAGCAAAATTTTGAAATAAAATCCGTTTGGTTGCTGTAATAATTCCTCTGATTCAGTTTCTTAGACTTTGTAAATGTGGCCTCTGCTTTGCCAGTAGCTTCGTTCCAAGCAAATTCCTTTCACTCTGTGAAGCAATAAAGCATCCATGGCTATTCATGCATAATAAATACACAAGTTTCATCACCGATTTATCAATCCCACTGTTTGAAAAGCCACTCATGTTCTCCAGTGGGATGTTTATGGTTTACATGTCTGTGGAATGTTTTGACACAAAACACACTTTGCAAAACCCCACGACTTCACAAAATTATGCATTTCATTATGTTTAAACTCCCAGCAGAAATGCCACTAGAAAACTGTGTATTTAACATGTTATGTTTCCTTTAGCCCAGAAATCATTGCTGTGATTGGTCGGCCTCTGCAGCAGCTCTGAAGGAGCTGATTGACTTCAGGCCAGAAGGGTTGAATCCTCGACTCATTTTGTGGAAAACACAAAAACAGATTTAGCTTTGAAGATTATCACTCTGCCTGAAAGGTGAAAGGTGTTGTGTTGTCAGCTATAATTACTGATTTGTCTGGAGAGAAAGAGATGAAGACAAATGTTAAAAAAAAGAAAAAAAAACAGAAAATCCACGTCTATCAGCTCTTCTTCAGCTATTTGGCTGTTTAATATGATAGTTCATATAAACTAAATTCTGGCCACCTTGTCATGCTATACATTGCTTTGGAATTGCTCTTTGCTCACTGTTGTCTAAAACTGTTGCTGCATGTGCAACACGAGTGATTGTTTTCTGATAAACCCTTTAAATCTGTTTTCCAGACTGGATAAAAATCCTGCAGCAGTGTAGAAATGCACAGCGCGGATGGTCTTTGGAGATTACTGGGTTTATTTTTGTGCCAAAATTATGATACAGTGAGAACTAATATCCCAAGTCATCCACAAAAGGAAACAAACTTCTGCATTCCTGACTTTAACTTTAGAAACAACGTCAGATGTTGTTCCTATTAGCTCACAGCTGGTCCTGTACCGACGGAAACGTCTGCAGATTTAGCTGAAATAAGGCCAAATGAGAGTTAAACTTGTAAAGATTCTTCCTGACCACATCATTTACTAACATGCATTCATTGGGCATGAGATGAAACATCGGTAAGCTTCACTTGATTGTAAAACCTTAACAGCCAGTTTGTATTGTGTGACATGTCTGCAGTAAGAAATGTTTATGTGCTAATAATTTGAAGGAAACAAAATGTACATCACCATCACTGACAGAATCAAAGCCAGTTGGAAATGATTGTGTACTTTTGTTCTTTAAAAGCTGCTTTGGGTTATTTGTCACTGTGGTCTCGTGGATGAGCTACTGAAATGAAATGTTGCAGTTCGCTCAGCAAAACGTTGTGGTTTCCCTTTGATTCTGTGTCACTTGAATGTTAAAATGTAACCTTTGTCAACTGTAATGTAAATAGAGGCCTTAACACACGATACACATTTTGTCAGGGCTAAGGACAAAGAATTGTCATTTTATCGTATCCAGACAACAGAAAACTGTTTCCTGAGCTTTTGTTCGGTTGCAATTCTGCAAAACACAGAAGTTAAAAAAAACGAGACGCTAAAAAAATCATGTTAAATATTTTAACTCACCTCATGAAATGTGTGTGAAACTGGTCTCAGCCTTTCCATGTTTGCATTTTTAGTTTCAAATTATTTATGTCCAAATTATTCCAACCAACAGTTTACAGTGAATTGTAACTGTTACTGACTATTATAAATGATAATGTTTTGTATTTTAGTAATGATAAATAACTACAATTAAATCAACTTTTTCTTTTTAAGGATAGTTTGATGTATTGGCAGTTACATGGTTGTGATATACAGAAATAATTCACAATGTCTAAATTGGGACATATAGTTATGATAGAGAAAACATTCAGATTGATTGTTTGCTGTTCATGTGTCTGTTTTTTTTTGTCTGTTTTTTGCAGAAAATGCATCTAAGACGTGAACTGGCTTTAAAGTTGAACAAACATGGCTCATGAAAATATCTTTCTCATCAATCAACAAGAAATTTGAGTATGTTTTTTCACCTTTTGATTGGCAGTGTGTCATTTTGAAAGAACATTTCAGTGAAGGAGTGGGAGGATAAGAGGGTTGGTACAACACCAGACACTGGAGTGGGAGATTTCCTCTGCTCTGCTGCTGTGCAGACGCAGCGGTTATTAAACTATACCCTCCATCTTCTCTAAGCAATACTCATAAAAATGTTCCCCCTCATGCCATCTGGAGCATCCTCCCATCTGATGTGTCCCACATAAGCAGGAGCAAAAACATTTTCAGGCTGTCTTACTCTGCTGAGAATCCAAGATGAAATCATCTTTCATCTATTTTCGTCACATTTTGCCAACGTCTTTGTGATTCAGCCCCTCAGAAACACCCAAATGTTTGATACTGCTCTTACGATACGAAGCCATAATATTTCCATTCACAGCCTTAAATTTTCATGTCAGAATTATTTACATGTCCAAACATTTCTTCCTTCCACACCATATATACAACTGGAAGGAGATGTTTTGGTTTTGGGGAGGGTTTTACAGTTTTACAGGCCTTTTTGTTCTTAGAAACATGTGTGAGCAACTGTGAAAGCAAAGCGGATTATAAATCTGTTTCCCTCCGTCTAGAGAGCATTTACCCAGGGATAGTTTGCCAAGTATGTCTCTGTTTCAAGCCTCACCTTCACTGGTTCCAACTGTCTGTAGTTTCTAATGTTAAGTGTCTTCACTGGATTCAGTTTCCATTTGAAAATCCTGTTTCCTTTTTTTAGCTTCACTTGATCAACATCAACAAATGTTTGCATAAACCAGGTGTTAATGCAGCTCTAAGCAGCAGAAGCATGTGTGCGTTGCTTTTATTTATTGCTCATGTTTTGGCACCTTGAGGACTGATTTGTTATCAGGGCAGAAAAATGATGATGTAACTTTAGTTTTATTCACTGCATTTAGATTCTGGCTATATTTGCAGATTATCTGACAAACTGTTCTGTTGTTGAGTAAATGCACAATTTGGTGTCCTGGTATTCTATTCCAGCTGTCAATAAAATAGTTTAACTCTGTTCCTGTCTGCTGGACATTGTGTTGCATTTGTGACAATTATTTAATGTAATATCAGAGTTTGGTAGCAACTATTGACCATTAATTGAGTAACTTTTTGGAAAGAAATTACTTTCAGGAATATTTTTACTACACTGTTCTTTTCACTTTTACTTAAGTAATTATATTATGAAGTATTTCTACTCTTACTTATATGAATTATAATAATTTTCATCCTCAAAATACCAACATTTCCTCTTGACTTTATATTTTAGTTCGTCTGATAATAATTTAATCTGTTAGTCAGAATAAACTTTTACCTGAGTAAAAACATGAAGTGATTCTAACTTGAGGACAATCTTTGTCTACTCTGCCCACCTCAGTGTATAGCGCATCAAAAAGCTTTTTTTCTTACAGCAACTATTTTCAGAAATTAAATTCTGAGCTGTCAGAACTTGAAGATGCCACTGGATCTGTTTTCCACTCATCCCATCAGAGCGGATCCCTCCCTCCGTCTGCCTTTGTGGCAGATGTTTGGACTCCCTGGTGGCCAAACCGATCAGCTTGTATTAACGTCTCTCTGTTATCACACACACACACACACACACACACACACACACACACACACACACACACACACACACACACACACACACACACACACACACACACACACACACACACACAGAAAGCAGTAGCGTGACAGGAAGCCAGGCTGCTCTGTTGCAGACACAGGAGTGGAATGAACATGCGCTGCCTGACAGAGGACACGCTCACACCGTAAGTTCAAGTGCAAGCGTGACTTGCATGCACAAAAGACAGAAAGATAAATTCACACTGAAGAATTGGACTAAGCAACAGGAGGCCCCCTAATGGAGCAAAGGCAAATTGAAACATAAATCATTTCCTCCACAGGAGAAATTACATCTTCAAACAGCCAGTATGTGTCTGCGTGTAGAAAGGAGCTGTGCTCACACTGAGGCGCTCTGCTTCGTCACTGCCTGCTTTTCTTGCAGCCTGCTGTGGACAAAAAAATCTTTATTTAACATAAAACAAGGGGAAATTTGAAAGTTTTGATGTATTTTTCTAGTGACTACTTCCTTTTGGTTTCTAGTATTCAGATCTTCTTAATTCCTCTGGTGGTAAATCAAGGTTTTTAAATGGATTTTGGAGGAAAGAAATCTGTAAATAAATCAGCTGTGATGTATTCGTAACAGTAATTTGTATTGCAAATAAAATAAAAAAGCAGCAAAGGTCAGATAAAGTCTTTGATTTGACTTTCAGGAGAGGAGGGTATTGCAGTGAAGCAGAATATGGACGGACCGTTTTAACTTCAGAGGGTTTCCTGCAGGATCAAACACAACTTAAAGGTTCTGCAGGAAAATGTCAAATCAATACATTCAACTGGATCTCATTCTTGTCAGGGTTGTGGAACTGAAGCCTGTTGGAAATGATCAGTGAGCTAAAGCTGAGATTCCCAGACATTTCCAAAACCTCTGACCTCTGACCCCCTCCCCCCCCCCACACACAATGCTCCAAATCAGTAGCATTGTTTATTCACTGTTCAATAATTATGACAGAATTAGTTTAAACACGGCCAGTCATTGGTTCCTCGGTTTGCTATAGATCTTCTGATGGATATTGATCTATTTGTAGGTCAGAACTACAAAGTTTTTTACATCTTCTGAACAGATTGTAGTTTCATTTTTTACAGTGTAGCAATAAGGAGTCTAAAACATGACTTAATCTGTTTAGAAATATATATTTTTTCTCATTCTGAATTGATTATGAACTGCTGTGTGCTGGAGCCTCTCTGTCTTACCTGAAGATCACAGTTTGGTCAGAAACCTGCGAACCGTTTAACGTCTGATCTGCTTGTTGCCAAATGTCCCCAGATAACGGGGTTTTCCAGTTGGGTTTCGTTTTATTTTGCTCAATTAAAGCAACACAGCACACCTTGAAAACAACTGCTTCTTAACTTTTGACACAGAAATAAAAAGCAACACAGTTTGAAAAAACAGACTCCAAAGTTAAGCACCCGACTTTCTGTTTTCAGTGTAATCGATACAAATTATAATCCAAGTACCTGATAAAATTGACATTTACATTTGTTGTTAAAATATTATTCAAGTTTACAATGTCTAGTAAAACTTTTACCAGACATGTCTGGTTTTCTTTTTCTCAGAAGTTAACCTGACGGGTTTTAATACAAATCCAGCCGAAAGATCAGTGCCGCTCTTTCTGGTTTTCTTATGTTTTGTCTTAATTCATTAATGAATTTGATTTCAAATATAACTGAGTAATTTTATTCAAAACAAATTCAAGTAAAAGTTTGGATTTTGTAAACAACTTAAAAGACAAAGTGGACAAAGTTTAATTCAAGCAATAAATGCGAATATAACTAATTATCTTTCACCCCATAGCAGAACCAATATATATATATATATATATATATATATATATATATATATATATATATATATATATATATATATATATATATATATATATATATATATATATATATATATATATATATATTCACAGTGTGAAGAGCTTCTTCTTCTGCGTTATCCAGACAGAGGTAGCCCATTGTGCACTAAAATATTGATGTTTTTATGTGTTTGCTGGCTGAGGATTGGTGTCTGCCTCCAGTGAAGGAGGCCTCACATCACAACGTCTCGTCCAGAATGTTGGTTGGATGCAGTGATGTGGATTTTCTGGTCTGTTGTGGTGAAGGAAGAGCTGAACCAGCCGAAAAAGTGAAAGTTTCCATTTCCTAATCAATAAAAGGTCAATCTCTTTCAGAATTTATTGATTAACACGTTGATCAAACCAAACACAACATGTGACCTTTTGCAATAAATATACATTTTTTAAAAGTTCCTTCTGTA